TATTTAAAAATGTAGGAAAATATACAAAATATTTAATACATTTCAGTTGGTATTCTATTAACAGTCCGATTAATTTTTTAAGTCGTGATTCATTTGAATAAACTGTGTCAGTTAACTGCAATTGACAGCCCTAATACTATCATATTCCAGGGATCACAGTGCCCATCTCAATCTAAGCAAATCTATGGTTCTGTCCAGAATGGGTCCTATCATGCAGACCTGAGATGACAAGTAATGGATCCAGAACTTTTGCATGCAGAATTAGTCATTCCTGGAGGTATGTGATCAGCTTTCCCTAGATTTTCAGGGTCAGGAAACCCACACCAGTCCAGAAGCAGGTCACTACAGCCCTCTGGAAGCTGGCTATAGGCCTGAGGTTAACCAGTATGGAGTTGGCAAATCAACCATGAGGACTGTTCAGAGTCAATCAGAGGTGTATTTTACCCAAAGGCAGAGGACATAAGAAAAGGTTACTCACCTTGTGCAGTAACTTCTGTTCTTCGAGATGTGTGTCCCCGTGGGTGCTCCACTACAGGTGTCGGGCTCGTCCCGGCGCCGCAAACCGGAAACTTCTTCATAGCAGTAGCCCCCCTCCGGAGGACCGCGCGTGCGCAGTGTGTCCCACGGCATTCGCGCCTTTTCTGCGTCGCGCAGTCCGCCCCGCCAGTTCCTCCTAGCCGGAACATCTGCAAGATACAAGAGAGATCTCCGAAGCAGGGAGGAGGGCGGGTCGTGGAGCACCCACGGGGACACACATCTCGAAGAACAGAAGTTACTGCACAAGGTGAGTAACCTTTTCTTATGTCCTCTGCCTTTGGGTAAAATACACCTCTGATTGACTCTGAACAGTCCTCATGGTTGATTTGCCAACTCCATACTGGTTAACCTCAGGCCTATAGCCAGCTTCCAGAGGGCTGTAGTGACCTGCTTCTGGACTGGTGTGGGTTTCCTGACCCTGAAAATCTAGGGAAAGCTGATCACATACCTCCAGGAATGACTAATTCTGCATGCAAAAGTTCTGGATCCATTACTTGTCATCTCAGGTCTGCATGATAGGACCCATTCTGGACAGAACCATAGATTTGCTTAGATTGAGATGGGCACTGTGATCCCTGGAATATGATAGTATTAGGGCTGTCAATTGCAGTTAACTGACACAGTTTATTCAAATGAATCACGACTTAAAAAATTAATCGGACTGTTAATAGAATACCAACTGAAATGTATTAAATATTTTGTATATTTTCCTACATTTTTAAATACATTGATTTCAGTTAGAGTATATGTGCTCACTTTATATTTTATTACAAATATTTGCACTGTAAAAAAAAACATTTTTCAGTTCACCTCATACAAGTACTTTTGATTGTGAAAATGTAACTTACAAATGTAGGATTATTTTTGATACATAACTGTACTTAATAGGCCCTAAAGTTTTACACTGGTTTGTTTATAAGTCCATTTAGTCCTTCTCGCACAGCCAATTACTAAGATAAACAAGTTTATTTAAATTTATAGGAGATAATACTTTAAAGTTTTACATTGTTTTATTTTTGAACGGTTATTATTTGTACAAATTCTACATTTGTAAGTTCAGCTTCCATGGTGAGACTGTGTACTGCATTCCTGGTATTAGGTGAATTGAGAGACTGTTTTTGTTTTAAAGTGCAAGTGTTTGTAATCAAATATAGATATGAAGTAAGCACTATACACTTTTTGTTTTGTGTTGTAATTCAAATCAATGTATTTGAAAATGTAGTACAGCTGCTCCCCGAGTTACAAACAAGTTACGGACAAAGTGTTGGCCCGTAACTCGAAGTGTTCGTATCTCGGATCCCACAGAGTTACATGGCGACTGCGCTGTTTGTAAGCGTGGATCACCATTCGTAACTCAGATCTGCGTTTACGACTGCTTTGGTCGTAAGTGCGAATGGTAGTGATTGGAGGTGGTCGAAACTTGGGGAGCGGCTGTAATGGAAAATGCCAGTAGTGGAGGTAAATGCGTCAGTACAAAATGGTACATCTGTATTTTGATGGAATTGATGTGCCAGTTCACCAGAGCTCTTCAGTTCCACAAACTCCATCACCAGAGCCACATCTCCGAGCTGTGAGATTTCTTCCATTTCACCCAAGTCCGTGAGAAATGCATTGTCCACTGGAAGCAAAAGTTAGTTGTAATTCTTCAAACCACTGAATCTGACATCAAAATTCTCACCCAGTTTACCCTGTACATCACAGAACTGCTTTTGGCTCAGAGGCAGCATCAGATTTTGCCTTATGTAGTAACTGCAGTTTGACAGAATGTTGATAGTGGTGTACAGTTTGTCCATGGTCTTATTCTTGCCTTTCATCAACTCATTTAAGTGCTGAGTGATATTGCACAGAAATGCAGAGTAACCAGCTCAAGTTGACCAAGAACAAAAATAGATCAGTTTCTCCTCACCCAATAATGAAAAGTTTGAGTGCTTCAAAAACATCCACAGTATGTACTAGCATGCACCTTCATGAAAGCAGTCTTCTCAGTGTGCAAAGATAACCCCTACACTAATTATGCGGCACTGGTCCCAGACTTTCATATTTAGTATTCTGTTCTGCTCACTTGACTTTACAGATAAGATGCAGACAGCGCTTCTGAAAATGCTATAGTGGCTTCCAGACTCCAAGACCTGATTTTGTCATGTGCAAAGCCTGTTTTCATTGTTTAAAATGCCCCAGATCTAGGAAATACAAATTTTGAAAAAATTAGCTGGGTGGCTAAGGGATGCACATTTTTAATTCTGCTCAGAGAGCTGTGCTTCTGCTTTACCCCATCTGCCCAATTCCTGGAGAAGAACAGCTAATCTGATCTACCACAGAAAGCAGCCAGAATGTTCCTCTGGAACCAGTGCCGTTCTCACAGGAGAGGCTGAGCCCAGACAAAGCCCAGCAACTCTGCTCCCTCCTCTCTTCTCCCCTCCTGTGAATGATGGGACACTTCCTTTGTTCTTGTCCTGCTCTGAAAGTGAGAGAAGGGCACATGGCTGCCATTGTCCCATGGCTGGGAGAGGGAAATTAAGTACTTCAGGGGCTATTGGAGGTAGAATTGTTGGATTGGGGGAATGGAGGAGCAGAATTGATGTGAGAACAGCATAGCTTTGGGGGTTGGTTAGCAGAATTAATTGGGAGACAGGCAGATGAGAAGGTCTCTCACACACTCATTTTCAGATCACTTGTTTTAAACACTGTTTATAGTAGTTCAGATGCATTGTACATGTCCAGCACACAGAAGCATAATGAAAGCTACTACTGGTTGAACCTTTCTAGTCCAGCACATTCTGGTTTGGCAACACCCAATATCTGGCATGAGTTTATTAACTGGATGTCATTTGATCATGGCTGTCGCCAAGTATTCCACTTTCCCATTATGTTTGTCCTTCTCTGTGTTCTGTGCTGTTGTTTAACACTAATTTACCCTTACATGTGTAACAGCCCAGCAAGCAGTGCATGTGTTGGTAATGCTGCTCCAAGGAAGCCTGGTTTTTATACTTTATCTACTTACTTCCTTGTGCCAGTACAGTAAAACTGGGTAACAGCACTAACTCTTTGTTATGAAAAGAGCTGATAAGCTTTGTCTAGGCTAAGGATATTAAAGACTAGTCAACTATCTGATAAGCAAATGCTTATCGGATAGTCAGTTGACTAGTTGATTACTCCCCCACCCCCATTGCTGGCTCTATCAATAGAAGCAGCAAGTGGGGGGAAGAGAGGGCACTTCAAAGGGCAGCGCCCTACAGCTGAGCCTGGCTCAGCTGTGCAGCACTGCCACGTTGAATGTCACCTCAGTCCGGCTCAGCTGTGCGGTATTGCCCCTTTGAAATGCGGAGGCAGTATTTCAAAGCGGCAGCACCACCTGGAGCCCGGGATCAGCTGGGGAGTCCCCAAATGGCCCTGGGCTCCATGTGGCATTTCAAATCGGCAGTGCAACATGGAGTCCAGGACCAGCGGGGGACTCTGAATCCCCCACCGACCCCGGGCTCTATGAGTGCGCTTCCGCTTTGAAATGCACAAGAGCCCCTGCTGGAGACTCTTGTACATTTCAAATCTGGCACGCCCGCATGCAGCTCTGAGTCAGTGGGACTTCTTGCTGGCGGGCTGCATGTGGTGTTCTGCATTCCTCCTTTGAAACGTGCAAGAGCCCCAAAGGAGGAATGCAGAAGTGCCTGTTGACTAGTCGATGCAGAAGTGCCTGTTGCAGAAGGAATGCAGAAGTGCCTGTTGACTAGTCGAGTAGTCAATGGAAATTCCATCGACTACTCGACTAGTAAATTAACCACAATTTAACATCCTTCAGGCCAGTGGTTCCCAAACTTTTCGGCATCACGCCCCCCTTTTTGATTCTTGAGAAATCCTCATGCCTCCCCTCCCAAAAAAAAGCAGCAAAACTTGGGGTGGGATTGACGGGTGTGTGTGTGTGTAGGTTGCCTCATGCCCCCCCTGGAATTTCTTCACACCCCCCAGTTTGGGAACCCATGTTTTAGAGGGCTCACAGTATTGCCACCCTTACTTAGGCTTATATAGGGTGTATTAGTACAGTTATGCATTATTAAGAAGCCTTGTTCCATTTTTTTTGTCTCAGCAAAATAAAAATACACATTATTGACCTCCTGTGGTCCAGCAAATTCTCTAGTTTGGCACCTATCAGGTCCTGAGGGTGTCAACCTAGAGAGATTCAATCTATACAGCAAACATACTCGGACACAGTCTAATCAGAACGTTTCAAAGCCTTGCTATTCAGGCCTTCAGAGCGTCACCTTGTGATCTGGTGGTGCATTGGGAGACAAATAACCTATGTAACAGAATATGGTCACTTTGGTTGTGGTGGGAGAGAGAAGCACTTTTTCAATGGAGCCAAGTCATTCTCGGGGTGGGGAAACTTGTTCTGTGTAGTGGGTGGCATGAGGAGAGCATGTCTGCCTGCCCAGGACTTAGCCGTGCTTTTTGTTTGTTTCTTTCCCCTGTAGGCCTGGATAAGATTGAATTCTTGCAGAGTCACGAGAACCAGGATATCTATCAGAAGGCCTTTGATTTGATTGAGCACTACTTTGGGTCAGAGGATGAAGACAGCAGTATTGTCCCACAAGTGGATCTCAGCCAGCAACAATACATCTTCCAGCAGCGTGAGGCTCCCATGGAAGGCTTCCAGCTCTGAGGTGCCCCATGCTACCTATTTCTCTACCCACACAGTTCTCATGTAAAGCCTTCAGTCACCCGTGGAGTGATTTCAATGTTTTCCATAGCCATGACTGATCCTGTCTACCTTTCCTTCCCACATGCTTCCCTGGGTGCCTCCTTGGATGCCTTTGTGAGCTGTGTTCAGTCCTAACACACAATATATCTGATTTTGCTTTATGCGCCAGCCTGGGCCATTGGCATATGGAACACATCACAGATATTGGAGTAAACTCTGTCCCCTGCATCTACAGCTTCCAAAGGACAAGCTTTCTAGTTACTAGGTACACTGAATGCAACTGAACCTGTCCATTAAAAAACTGAGCTCCCAAACTGGACTCCTCAAACCACTTCAGAGATTTGAACTCTCCACCCAAAAAGGACCTGAGCAGGTCACCTCTCCAAAAGCCACTTTTGTATCTGGCTTCTAGAATGAAAAAACTACCACGCTGCCCCATCCCTTTCACAATGTGGCCTCTTCATTGAAATGAAGTCGAACCCTTCCTGACTTCATACGCCTGAGTCTGGTCCTCACTAGCTTAGTCACAGGTGATCTATCCCTGCTCCCACATACACACACACACACACACACTTTTACATTTTTCTATGCAGCTTAACTTGAACTGGTTTCTGTTCTGTAAATCACTTTTTGATGTAAAACTTGAGTGTGCTAAACTGTGAGCACGAGGAGGACTCTGTAGTGTTAGCTCTCCTGACTACTTTCAACCACATGAAAGAGAGCTTCCTGTCGGCCCACCTTGCAAAATAGAGCCCTCCTGATCAAGGTCTGGTTAACAAATATACTGTGATATTCCATTCCAGCCTTCCATTTCCCCCTCACTGGTCTAATGACCCCAGATGAATTAGCATGGAATAAATGGTTCCTGCAGGCCACGTTTGTAAAGCATTGCTGAGAGTGAGACAGCTGCTCCACAACCTGCTTGGACCACGATGCATCTGACGCAAATTCAGTTTCTGAATGTAATGGATTCTTCGGGCTATCTGCTCCCTCCTGCGTTGGGCTACATGCTCTCAAGCCATCTCGGACCTTTGGAATACATATTTACCCCAAAGTAAATATTTCAAAAGTTGTCCCTACTACAGTGTCATCTATCTATGGAAATTCCTATTGGCAGAACTATCGACAAGATCTTATAGCTTCATTCACTGACAAATCACTGCAAGAGCTTCAACTAGTCACAGGACATAGGCTTAAAAAAGTGTTTATCAAACTGCTAAAGGACCTAAGCATCAGCTTTGTGAGACCCTTTCTTTACACACAGTCTTCATTTGAGCCTATGCTTTTGGATGGAACTGACCCTATGTGGGCATGGAAGAAAGCTGCCTCTTGCCTCCCTTTCTAATCCACTCAACCTCCATCTTGTGTTATTTTCTCTAGTGCTGCTGTGTGCTCAAAGAATATTTAGTTTACTGAACTTGACCTGTAAATTGACTTTAATTCTTTGTAACTTCAGAGATTAAATTAGGTGATTAATTTAAAAACAAAACAAAAACCCTCAATGTTGCCTTTACATCATCTGATAAATAATAACTGTTTCTCTTTCTTGAAGAGTAACTTGAACTGTTTCTCTTTCTAGAAGCACTGATTAGTAGCAAAATCTTTTGTTATTTGGACTTCATGTGCTAGATTTTAAGTGTAAATTAACAATAACATGTCATCTCTATAGAATTTGTTTAAAATCATGTACCTTTTCTTGGATGGTATGAAAATGCTACATATTTTGTAAACAAATCTAGGAAAAGTGTGTGTGTATACATATTGTGTATATATAGATGTATTATTCTGTATATATATACACACACACACACACATACACACACACACAGTGTGTGTTTTCTCCCCCAGGCTAGTAAAAACAATGTGGTGCATTGTTGTATACCCTCCCTAAGGAAATGACAGTTTCCTTTAAATAAGTGAATTAAACAAAAGTCATTTAAACAGAGTGGCTTGTCTTTCTGTGTAAAGAACCTGGCTAGTGTTTGTGTTACTTATGCAGGTGGGTATGTGAATTCAGAGCAGAAAGGGATCTATTTTTAATTGGGTGGCAGTATAGTCCCATGCAGGGAGGCTGGGACTGAGTCAGTTCTCTTGGGTTCTGTTCGCAATACTTGATCTGTTTGCATGTTTCTTTATCCATCTAGAAATGGAGGTAATAACTCGCGTTTGAGATCCTCATCTGAGTACCTTCATTAGCGTATGGTCTTATTTCAGCTTGGCCTCACTCTTTGGCCTCGCCACTGTAGCTTACCTTCTAACAGTCTGTGTGGAGCCCCACTTCACAGATGGAAGAACACGGGGCTTTCAGATGTCACAGCTGGTAACTCTGTCACCCTCCCCAAAGCTTATCCTGGAACACAGCTCCTGCCTGTAGCTCAGTCATGCACATTTCCTCCTGTGGCTGCTATTAGCTGTTTAATTTGTACAAATGAAAAAAGTCTTTTGCAGGTATGTTAATTTTTTTATGCACTCAGCCACTTGTAAGGCTGGAAATGAATAATTTTGTGCTAAATCCTGATGCAAAAAGTGAGTTGCTAGTACCATCCATTCATTGGGATGTGCTTAGGTCAGATTGGATTTTATGAGCTATCCACTAAATACCTGAGTAATTTAATCTTTCTTGGATCATCTTGCAAACTTTTATGTAGCATGGCAATAATCCTTTTATTTTCACTCACCCACTCCTGAGGATTCAGATTATAAGAAATATGCAATTTCCTTTCAGTTCCAAGTATTTTGTACATCTGCAAGTTCATCTCTGAGGTGAAACTGGAACCACTGTCAGATTCCATTCCCAAGGGCCAGAGGCACCAACTTTTCTAATATGCTGGGGGTGCTTCCCCTAGCTCTGCCCCAGGCCCCACTCCTTCCCCCAAGGCTGCACCCCTGCCTTGCATCTTCCTACTCCCAATCCACCCCACCTCTTCCTTCCCACCCCTTTCCTCCCCCTGACACACTCCACCCTCATTCTCCCCCCCACAGCACTTCCTAAATGCTGGTGAACAGCTCATCACTGGCATGTAGGCACTGCTGATGGGTGGGAGGCACTGGGGGAGGAGCTGATCAGGTGGGCTACTGGGGGGGTGCTGAGCACCCACCTTATTTTTTTTCTGTAGGTGCACAGCACCCATAGTGTAGGCACCTATGTCAAGGGCAATCGCCACTTGGTAAAAATGTTATTCTCCCAAAGAAATGCTGAGATGACAGTTTCATTAGGGGACTGCAAAGCACTCCACCCATTTTGTAAAAAGACAAATCACCACTGCTCTTTGTTTTCCTGGTTTAATGTTGGCATGGGTCCAATCCAATCCACCTTGTGGGATACATTTAAAAACAATTGAATATTAAAGCCCTAAAATTGAGGCATCCTTCAAAACATGACACACATTTTAATTACTTTTTTCGTAATGGAAACAAGATGGTGAATGAGCTGAGATTTTGAGCTGCACAATACTCTTCTTCAGGCCAGTTGGTTTTGTAATGATACACAAATAAAACTGGACTTTGATTGAAAAGGCCTTTGACAAATCTGTTTGCAGACGATAAAAAGAAATGCTGACAATCAGAGTTAACAAAAGCACGCAAGGCCAAGGGGACATTGCCTGCTGTCACCTGAAAGAGGGAGGGCTGAATTAACTGAAAGTGAAGCCCAGCTGGAAATGGGATGGGACAGTACTGTAAAGTTAGGAGGTTGAAAGCAGCTGAAGTTGGAGGAGGCTACAGTCACTCCCTAAAGGGAGACCACCAGGAAGGGATAGGAGGTCCAGGGGGAAAGTAAGCCTTGGGATCCTGCCCTTTCATAGGAGTTTGGCAAGAAGCTAGAAAGATTAAAGTAGTCATAGGGAGCAGAGTAAGCTCCAGTGGTGAATCAGAAACAAGATGAGAGAGAGGCTAGAGGCTGAATAGGAAGAAGTCCTGGGAAACAGCAACATGACTGGAATTGAGCCGACCTGGATTGCTGATTGTGGGATCCCTGGGCTTGGAGTCTGGTGTGTTGGGGCACAGACTTCCTAGCTGGGACAGAACATGGTCTGGAGACAGCACGTGGACATTTGTTGTATTTGACTTTGTAACCCCGGCAAGGGTAGAATAACTAATGACCTTGCCAGAAGAACAACTATTCACAGAGCAAGCAACGAGCACCAAGGGGGTATTTGATGCAATGAGAGCTACCTCCCAGACCAAGACACAAGAAAGCGCACTAACGGTGAGTGGGAACTCCATAACCCAGGCCTGGGCAAAATATGGTCTGCAGGCCGAATCCAGCTTGCCAAGCCACTGGATCCAACTTGTGGATGTGCAGGGAGCCCCACCCATACGCTGCTCAGAAATGCAGCTGCAGGGCAGTTTTTGTTTAAAAATTGAGTCTGTAGTAGAGAAAGTTTTAGGAGCTGCTCCCATCCCCAGCACAATCCCATTGGCCGGTTTCTGGCCAGAAACCAAGCAGTGGGATCTGCCTATTTCAATGACAGGCAGCCACAAAGCACAAGTGGCTTCAGAGCACATGGCTGCAGCCTGTAGGGGTCTGGGCAGGCATTGCAGTGTTCCCTCTGAGCTTTGCAGCAGCCCAGCTTCACAGGTGATTAACCAGCCCCTAAAAAGCAGGAGTTGGGTGGAGAGGGTGCATACAGAAAAGTTCTTCATTAGTTCCCATAAAGAAGGACTAGAGGACACCTCTTGCGGTCCCGGGCAAGCTCTCGGGAGCCGCCAGCCTGGTCCCGGAAAGAGGGGCAGGACTGGGGGGCATCGGGTGGGGGGCTCGAGGC